TTTATCTGCAAGAGTAGGCCATATTTCTAGAAACTATTAAACTTAACACTAACCTAAATAACTTTTAGGTCACCAGGAAATTAAATTAAAAAGAATAAAAATATTTTGTATGCTTATATATTAAAAAAATACCGACACTATAACTTTTATAAATTAATATATGAAAAACAGTCATTGAAGATCCAAAAATAGCATGGGAAGGTCACAGATTGCTCCACTTAAATTTAATAATCCAATTAAATTTCTTATAAGAATTTTCCTAATGTAAAGTATTCATATTTAGGTGATTGCCTGTTTTAATTGGAACAATAAATAAGGTTGTCCTATTTTTTATTATGACATAAGAAATTAAAATAATTTCAATTCTACTTCCTTTTTGTCTTTTTACCTTTTCGTTATGGAAAATTTCATATATATACAAAGTAAACAGGATAGTATAATGAATATCCATGTACTCATCACCCAGCTTCATTTATCAGCAGTATACTACCATTCTTGTTTATCTATACCTCTGTCTTCTCTCTATCCCTATTCAGTAATTTTTAATAAGTCTTTCTTAATGTAAAATTTACATACATTGAAATGAACCAATTTTAACTATACAGCTTTGATAAAACATTTGTGTAACCCATACCACTGTTGTTATATAGAACATTAACATTTACGCAGAAAGTTCCTCTATTTCCCTTCGCAGTCTGTCCTTTCCCCCATATGTTTTGATATTTGTCACCATAGATTAATTCTAGAGTTTCATGTGAATGGAATCACTATATATTCTTGTGTCTAGCTCAACATATGTCTCTGAGATTTATACATGTTGTTGAATGGATCCTAGTTTGCTTCTTTTTTGTTGCTCTGTGATATGCCACTGTGTGAACATACCACAATCTTTATCCATTCCCCTCTTGATAAACACTTGAATGGTTTCCTGTGTGTAGCTAGTGTGAATAAAGCTACTGTGCACATTCTTATGTAACTCTTTCAGGGACATATATTTTCATTTTCTTAAAGAAATACCTAAGAGTAGAATTGCTGACTCAGAGGATAGGTATACATTTAACTTTATATAAGAAATTATGCAACCTTTTCCCAAGAGTTTACATTTCTGCCAGCAGTGTTTGGGAATTCCAGTCGTTCCCACGTTCTTCCCAACATTTGGTTTTCACTATCCTTATAATCGTAGACATTCTAGGGTTGTGTAGCAGTGTCTCATGGTTTTAATTTGTGTTTCCTTTTTGTCCAGACTTTCTTTGTGAAGTCTTTAGCCCATTTTAAAAATTGCATTGTGTTCCTTTCATTATCACATTATAGGAATTCTTTATATATACTGGATACAAGTTTTTTGTTAAAGATATATATATCTTTTGAATATTTTCTCTTAGTCTGTAGCTTGCCTTTATTTTTCTTAATAGTATGTTTGTACTGTCATTGGTTATTACTTTTGTCTTTAATATTTCTTTTCTCCTATGTAAGTTTAGTTTGCATATCTCTTTTAGCTTCTTAAGGTAGATGCTTAGATTATCGATTTACATCTTTTTTTTTTTCTAATATAGGTATTTAAAGCTGCATCTCTCTCAAGGACTTATTTGACCTTTGTGGTCACGATTTGTTAATGACATGGCTGTATAGTATAGCAGTGGAGAAGTGGTGATTCTGTTAAAAGGACCTCTGGTTAAAAAATAAGAGCCTCGTCACTTAAAAAATTAAAAAAAAAAAAAAATTAGCCAGGTGTGGTGGTGCCTACCTGTAATCCTAGCACTTTGGGAGTCCAAGATGGGAGGATCACTTGAGGCCAGGAGTTCAAGAACAGCCTGAGCAAGAACAAGCCCTCATCTCTACAAAATATAGAAAAATTAGCCAGACATGGTTGCATGTCCTGTAGTCCCAGCTATTTGGGAGGCTGAGGCAGGAGGATCCCTTGAGCCAAGGAGTTCAAGGTTACACTGAGCTATGATGACACCACTGCACTCTAGCCTGGACAATAGAGCAAGACCCTGTCTCATAAATAAATAGAGAGAAATAGATACAAAGAGTAAAGTAAGGAAGTGAAATGGTGGGATTGGAACACGTAAGAGTGAGTAGCACGCTATAGCTAAAGAGAAACTTATTCTGTGTCCTAAGATAGACAGGGATACTTTTGTAATTCTCTGATTTTCAGATGCCCAGTGCCTACAGGAAATTATTATGTATGCATTGTTTGTGTCTACTATAAATACTCAAATCTTCCTTTTCTGCTAAAAAAAAATTCTTCAAAGTAAGCATTTTTAAAAAGAAAACGTTTTTAAGAACTTCAAATCTTTGGAAAAGTAAGAACGTGGTAAAGAAATGGGGATGGGAACCCACAAACACAAGGTTATCTAGTACTTTTTAATACCACAGAAAAATCCCAGGAACTGTTTTTTTCAAGAATTATACTAGATCTCACCAAATTCAGATTTAGAGGTTTTGTTTGTCATTAAGCAGATAAACCATAGATATCTGTTTTCTGTATTACTCTTCTAATAAAACAATTTTCTTATGTATAATATTTGTAATCAAAAAGTAACTCTTCTGAATAAGAAAATGTTAATTATCTAGGAATTTTGTTTAAGAAGATTTAGTAAAGTGTTTGAGTAGTATCCTCCAGAATCATTCCTTTAAGACTTGTGTGACAAACTGAGAAATATCTTCTGTACACAGTGGGTAGCCAGTAGGTTTTCTGCAGGGGGTTTCTACTGAGAGCTGACAGAGGGCATCTTGGCAAATGTTCAGAACCCTACATTAACTTGGTTGGGCCCTGCATGGAACCTCATGTTCAGCAGAATTCTTCTGACCTGCCTCTGCATGCCAAGCTAATCAGCAAATACCTAATGAGCCCGCTCCGAAGAAACAGACCCTCTCCCAACCTACTTCATTTTCGTATGTTCTCTTGGGTGGGGAGACAAGACTTCATGAGGACTGATGATGCTGCAAAGACCACAATAATGATAATTAACTTGCTGAATTTAGAAGATTATGCTGTTAATTAGTTGCAAAATAAAGATAAGTAATAGAGCAGCAGATGGTAGGATAACACCCAGGAGAAGGAGGGTTATTACTCTGATGAGCTTTTGTGGCACATATGAAATATGGATCTGACTTTTTCATAAATTGTTTCTAGAGAACATTATCTTTTTTCTTTGAACTATGATGGAGTAGTTTGTTCCTACCAAGTTCTGACAGATGTGATAAAATTTATTTTCAGAGGTGCAACATAGAACCTGAATAACAAATTATTTTTAGCAGAACACCTCTTAAAGTGAATGTGTCATATTGGTCAGCACAACAGACACTTCACCTTTTAATTAATTGACACAATCCATATATCTCTCTAGGAAAAAAGTTTTCAATATAGTAGTTGAACTAAAATTGCTAAAACTTAAACATTAAGATACTAGTCTGCTTCTCAGAAATATAAGATATTTTTATTTTGTAAACAGTGTATACCTTTATGTTAAATTACAATTATGCCTATGTTTTATTGTACATGTTGAATATAGACTTTTTAAATCTTATTTAATTTCTGAGTGCTTCATCTTTATTTCTCAGAGTACCCAATCTTTATTTATGTATATTAAATTTCCCTACTGGGAGAAATGTTGACGTTAGTAATAAACTGACCAATGTCTGATATTCAACTTGATTACTTAGAATACTTAATATTAGACCAGAGCTCTAGTTTGGCAAAGCTTTTGTTTAAAATATGTTCGGTGAACTGGGAGTCAAATGACAGAAATTCTGGTTTTATCTCTGCTAACTCACTCTATGATTCTGGGAAGTAACTTCACTCTTTGGAAGTTTCTTTATCTGTAAAATGGTGATCAGACTAATGGACTTCCCTTATCTCTGCTAACTCCAAAATACTACTGTAAAATAAACGTCCATTATATTTATATGTGTTTTCATTAATTTTTTTAAACCAAAATTTTTGGCCTTTTTACAATGCTTCTAACAAATATATGAGTGGATTGTAGGTATCCTTATATTAGTTGTAAAATGTATGTGAATGATGTGTAGTAACTGCTTTTTTCACCTAACTCATTCTAATTTTTTTAAGCATACATGCATTTTTGTTGTAGTTTTAAAAAAATTAATGGGCAGTTCAGAGTAGTGTTAATTAACCCTTAAAACCTTTTTCTTGCATTTTATACCCAGTGGCACACTTTCCAAGTCAGACCCATTGTAATCAATGTAACAGCATGAAGCAAACATTAGAGCTTTTTCACTGGATGAGTACTGTATACCCTAGGGCAGTCAAGGGAGGGTAATGAATGAATACTGATGCTTCTTTTAAGTGCTCTATAAGGTAGTAACTTGCCCTACTAAAGATTATTCAAGAGAGTGATGTTTATGTACTTCAGACTCCCCTATGTGCAGTTACTGTATTTCATTAATTCTAAGAGTTAAGCTCTTCACTATAAAACTTTAAATGCTCTTCAGTTCTATGATGTTTTCTACCTAAGGACTTAAAAGTGTTTTGCCAACACATAATTTACCAAGCCTCACATTGCAACCTCTAGTTACATTTATGTTCATTTTATATCCAAAAATGAAAGCCTCAACATAGTGCTATAGACTGGGTACTGTTCATTGTATTTTGATATCTAACATTCTGTTTATAAAAGATAGAAGTATGCAGACTGACCCCCTCCTCAGATTCTCCTCCTTTGTTCTGTTTATATATATGACTCACACTTTTCAACTCTTGTCTTTCTACTCTCAATCTTTATTGATCATTTTCTTAAAGTGTTCCTATCTGATTCCAGTCAGCTACTGCTTTGGTGACTCATCTAATTTCAGCTTTAATCCATCTGCTTCCATATTGTCCCATCAGTTCTTAGTGTCCTAATTTCCTGTGTCTTAGCTACGAATATAGTAGTTTCTGATTGTTAAAAAAGGAAGGAACTAGGAATCTTGTATGGATTCTGAAAGACTCAGTGTATAATGTAATCTAGGACGTATTTTACATATAAAATGTTTCTGGGGCCAAACCAATGCCTAAGATGACCTCTAAGTACATTCTGAAAATTCAAATGTTGGAACTCTCCTAATTCTTTGATGTTCCCCCACCCACATGCTAAGAATATAGAGGCCTTGATAGCTACTCTTGAAGAAATAAGGAAACTGACATATGAGAAACTCTTTTATGAGTTAGATAGATTTTTGCATGTTATATTTAATTTTTAACTCAACCCTGCAAGGAATTTATCATTATTCCCAGTTTAGTTGTCATTATTCCAAGTTTTACAGATAAGGAAACTGAGACTCAAAGATTAATGATTTGTTCAAAGTCACAAATAGTTTGAGGTAAAGTTAAGTTCTGACCCTAAAATGTCTTTTCAGCTGTATAAGACTTTATAATATGTTACATGTACTAATCGTGAAGACACTAGGACTTTACATATGTGGTGCTTTTTATAAGTTCATAAAGTAGTAGTCTGTCAGAAAAGAGGGAGAAAACATGCCAGATCCTGGGTGACATAGCTTGCCAGTTGCAGTATCAGACCTGGTGTTCTCAATCTTTACTGATTGTTTTTGAATCCTTAAGCCATATAGCCTCTGACTATCTTTCTTGATCTTTCCTTGTGTTTTCTGGTAGCATCAAGTATAAAGTATGCAGCATGGTGCCAGGGAAAACTTGTGTACTTTGAAATTAATGAGATCTGTGTTCAAATACAGGATTTGAACTAGCTTAATGGCTGTGTGGCCTTGAGCAAATGATCTCTGGTTTCTTAATCTGTAAAGTGGGGATATTATCTAATTAAAAACTCATTGAAAAACTACTGATATCAAAACATGGATGAATCTCAAGTGCATTATGCTAAGGAAAAGAAGCCAGGTTCAGAAGGCTATATTTTCATTTATACAACACTCTGCAAAAGACAGCACTCTTGAGATCAGAAAACAGATCAATGGTTTTAACAGTGTATTTATGTTTTACTCTTTTCTGAAAATTGATTAGAAACAGCAAAGTAGGGACTCTTCTAGTAGTACTACACTAGGCAAAAAGACTCAGAGATGTTTTCCGAAGGTCAAATTGTCTTATTGATATTTATTTATAATGATCTTAGGAACACAATGAAATATAATAAATGAAATCTAGTTTTAAAGCCAAATGTGTTTGTGTTTTTTAACAGATATCTTTTTTGCTTAACTGAAGAGTATCTTGAGAGTTGAATTCCGGTGTAAAGCAGGTGATTTTTTTTTTTAATGGTGTTTGCATTTCAGAGATTAAAAGCTGCTTTGACCCAGCAACATCCTCCAGTTACCAATGGTGATACTGTCAAAGGTCATGGTAGTGGATTGGTTAGGACTCAGTCAGAGGAATCTCGACCACAGTCATCTCAACAGCCAGCCACATCTACTACAGAAACTCCGGTATGTGTGTTTTCATCATTCAGCACTCTGTCCTTTTTATAAAGACAGTACAGATAGTCATGGTGGCACACACCTGTACTCCCAGCTACTTGGGAGGCTGAGACGGGAGGATCCCTTGAGCCCAGAAGTTCAAGTACAGTCTGGGCAATATAGTGAGACTTCATCTCTTAAAAAAAGACAAATGCTGTGTAATTTGTGTGACTTCTTTACGTACTTTGAAAAAATTATTCTAAAAGTGTATGAAAAAACCTTAGGAAAAGGTATATCAATATACAAGTATTGATACAAAAATACTCAGATTACCTGTATAACCTGAGTGTTTATGTTGTAGAAAATTTTAACAGGTTAAGTTCTATAAATTTTATAAACAATAGCAACTTCTTTGATATTGTTGAGAAATGCAGTATTCTTCAGAAATGTATATAAACCTTATGTTCTTTTTAGAGTAGCAAAACTGAGAGTTCTAAAGAGTCTTTTGAGATTTTTTTAAAAAAATTATCATTGATATTCCTGTTTCCTTAAATGCTGTATGTTCATGATTACAATACATATTATATTCTAGTATTGTGATGGCCTCTCCAGCCCAGTGTATAGGGCTGTTAATTACTGTTCCAGATGTCCCAAAGAGGAGCCATTTTTTCCTTTAATGATTCTTGTTTCTGATTTTAATATTTGCTCACTCATTATAAAACATTACTGCTTTTTATTATATAAAGTAACCTTACCTGACTTCTAGGTAATCACAAGTCTTTTAGAGAAATATATAGATATAGATTTACATATACAAATATATGTATGTATTATATTACTAACATAACTCAAATGGCTTTTGAATTAAAACGTGTGAAGCATCACCAAAGGAGTAGATATGCTTTGTGGCCGCTATTTATACTGAGAGGCCGTTTTCACGTATGTCTAGTTTGCGAGTGCTTATCAGATGATTGATATTTCTGTGTCTACAGTGTATTTCTATAGTAAAGGATTATTATATTTCTGTTAAATGTTTCAGAACTCTATTTAGACCTTTTCTCTACTTGAAGAATATTAGCATTGGCATTAAAAAGCAAAAGTTTTTAGTCAAAGAAACACAGGTAAACAGCAAGTTTTAGATTGCCACCTAAGTGTGGGTATTTATATAAGTGTGTTTTGTCTTTACAAAAGTTAAGATAAACTGGAATGTAGTTGTTGTCATCCACTGAACAACTTAGGGGCCGAAAGAAAGAGAGAGAGTGGGTGGGTGTGTGTGTGGGTGTGTATGTTTATGTTATAATTCAGGGGTTAACAAATTGTGATTTACAAGCCAAATGTAGCCCTTGACTGTTTCTGTGGGGTGTGTAAGCCAAGTATGGTTTTTACATTTTTAAAGGGTTTTTTTTTTTTTTTAAAGAAATGAATATAATTTATTTTTATTAAGCCTTTATTTTCTTACACTAATTATAGTTTAGCTACATCTAATTTTTACTTACATCTTTATATTTTATTGTATTGGATGGAAACCTACATGATGTTCACTGCTTTTTCTCTAGTTTCTAGAATAGTTCCTATAAATATTTTCGGAATGAATGAATCAATGGAAGTGGGGAGAGAAGGAGTAGTATAGGAGTGTAAGCAGCCTCATATCCTTGTTAGGCATAAAAATATACAAATGTAACTCTGTAATAGTTTCTGCTATTCTACTAATATTTGTGATTAGTCTTTGCTATAATGAGTTAAATAAATTAAAAACAAAAACCAAAAACTGTTCTCTCTTATTCAGCCAAATGAGTAAAAGAAAAAACCTGCTATTCTCAATAAGAAAGATAAGAGGATGAAGAAAAAATATTTCAAGATTGCAATTCTTGAAGCCAGCCATAGAAATATTTTTCTAAAAGATTAAGTTGCAATGATGTAGGTAAAAAAAAATTCAGTTTAATGCTTGATCTTTACTACAGTTTAAGTACTTTATAAGTGAAATAACTCTTAATTTTTAATGCTAGTTATTTGGACAAAGGAATTAAATGATAGCTTTGTATTTGTAGAGTGAGAAATTTTGGTGATTTACATGCAGAACTTATCTTGAGCCTTATATAAGAATTTTGCTTGTTACACAGATTAGGAGAAAATAAATTTTATTTGTTCACACCATTTTAAAATATAATTAATTACAGACAAAAGATTGTTTTCAGACTTTTTCTTTGGATCATGTGCCTATAGCCACAAAGTGTTCTTGCCTTCATAACATTTCCAAGAATTCATTTTCTGTCTCCCATATTCAAGTGTTCTGTGGCACAGTTTTGGGGTGTGTAGAAGCTTGGGAGGTACCTATTGTATAGTCCTAGACACTAGACAGTATGACTGATGACTACAGATTTCTGTCTCTGGCTGTTCTGAGATAACCAAGCTGATCCACTGGGGGACAGGAGGACCAATTAAAATGAAAATCAAGGCTTCTGTGATATTCTACCTACCAGGAAAATGAGCATGTATTACAAGAACCTGACCCTTAAAAAAATTCTGACCCTAAATTTCAAAAACTGAAGAAAACTGCATACACCAAAGTATATACATAATTTCACTCCTTAATTTTAGAGAAACCAATTTTTAAAGAAAATTGATAAAACGGAGTGAAATAGTGTCTTTTCAGCAACTTGGATGAAACTAGAGACCATTATCCTAAGTGAAATATCTTAGGAATGGAAAAATAAATACCACATGTTCTTGCTGTAAGTGGGAGCTAAACAAGGGATATATGTGATCATAAAGTGGTGTAACGGAGATTGAAAACTAAGGAGGGGGAGGATGCAACGGGAGTGAGGGATAAAAATTTACCTATTGGGTAAAATGTACACTATTCTGGTGACTTTTAGGTACACTAAAAGTCCTGACTTCTGCATTAAACAATTATACAATTAACAAAAAACACTTGTACCCCCTAAATCTATTGAAATTTTAAAAAAAAGAAAATTGACAGATTTAATGTAAGATGTGTTTAACTGTAAAATAGCATAGAAAACATGGTTTCCTATCATGAATTTCAATAGGAAGCTGTAAAACTTTTTAATTTAGTAACTTATTATCAGTAATTTTCAAAGGATTGAATAATGGA